TTCACTGTTGAAGCTCATTCACTCATGTACACTATTCACTGTAAATCTCTCACTCAGGTATAATATTAACTAAGTAAATCCCATTCTGGTGGTAGAGATTCTTGGAATGAAGGTAGGAAAATGGACCTAATTATTATTCTGATATACAAACTGGCAGATGCAACGGTTGAGGAATTCACAGAGCAGATGCACAAACTGGAGAATATCCTTGATAACCTAGCAAACCCATCTAAAAATAAAATCATGAAGATAACCTCAAGATAACCCAGTACCAGATAGCATCTTCCTTGGAGACTTCAATCTATCAGTTTAAGATAGAGTATAGCAAACAATAACATCATAGCAGGGAATCAACCCGGAAATAACCAACCACAGGTCAGAAAACAACTGAGATTCTGTGACCAATTCTGAGCGCTCAACCAACAGATAACAGAACCCATTAGGAACGATAACACACTCGACCTGATCTTCACAAACAGTGAAGAAATAATCAAGAGATATTACCATCTCAGATACTGTATACTCAGACCACAAGCTCATTGAAGTTCAGACTAACATTAATATCTCTGGAGAGGTAGGAGAAGCAACTCCCTCAAACACTCTTAAAGACAGGTACCCCCGTTTCCGTCTTAAAGACAGGTACCCCCGTTTCCGTCTTAAAGACAGGTACCCCCGTTTCCGTCTTAAAGACAGGTACCCCCGTTTCCGACCGCCTGTTGCTCCGTCCACGCAGTCTAAGTGTAAATCTGTCTGCATAAGTCTCTCAACATCTTGCTGCCCACCCGTGTGTCAGTCAGCCAGTCAGTCTGCCTGTCAAGTCTGTCAACCTGTCCGTGTTGGCCTGTCAGTCAGACTTCACCTGGCCACACCTGGCCTGCTGTTTATGTGTCACGCATTGTGAGCCCCCCACACACACACACACACACACACACACACACACACACACACACACACACACACACACACACACACACACACACACACACACACACACACACACACACACACACACACACACACACACACACACACACACACACACACACACACACACACACACACACACACACACACACACACACACACACACACACACACACACACACACACACACACACACACACACACACACACACACACACACACACACACACACACACACACACACACCACACACACACACACACACACACACACACACACACACACACACACACACACACACACACACACACACACACACACACACACACACACACACACACACACACACACACACACACACACACACACACTCTCTCACACACTCACACACTCTCACACTCTCACACTCTCACACTCACACTCACACTCACACTCTCACACTCTCTCTCACACACTCGCACTCACTCACTCACTCACTCACTCACTCACACTCTCTCTCTCTCTCTCTCTCTCTCTCTCTCTCTCTCTCTCTCACTCACTTCCACACAGGTGGAAGCTGAGTACCCAAATGAGCCACAGAGACGTTAGAAAGAACTTTTTCAGTGTCAGAGTAGTTAGCAAATGGAATGCATTAGGAAGTGATGTGGTGGAGGCTGACTCCATTCACAGTTTCAAATGTAGATATGATAGAGCCCAATAGGCTCAGGAATCTGTACACCAGTTGATTGACGGTTGAGAGGCGGGACCAAAGAGCCAGAGCTCAACCCCCGCAAGCACAATTAGGTGAGTACAATTAGGTGAGTACACACACACACACACACACACTCACTCACTCACTCACTCACTCACTCACTCACTCACTCACTCACTCACACTCACTCACTCACTCACTCACTCACTCACACTCTCACACTCTCACACTCTCACTCACTCACTCACTCACTCACTCACTCACTCACTCACTCACACTCTCACACTCTCACACTCTCACACTCTCACACTCTCACACTCTCACTCACTCACTCACTCACTCACTCATATTTCAAAACGAATCGTGCAGTGATTCCGTTTTTGAGTTGAGTTGAGTTTGGATCCTGAGACTGAGTGGCCTATACGCCTTCGACTATTTACACCGAGGGATTCGCGTTGAGCCTACGAGGAGGACAGAAGTGGTTGGGCACGTTGTTTCCCTTCAACTGATGTCCCTGTTTAGCGAGTAGTATAATAGGTTTCCCCTGGGAGTTAGGGAACTGTTGTGGGGTTGCGTCCTGGGGGAGAGGGGGAGGGGGGGGGGTGTCTAGAGGGAGCTTGAGGAACTCTTAAGTACAAGCTTCCCGTCTCCAAACAATGGGAATTTGTCGAAGTTAACATCTCAAGGGATATTAAGTTCTGCTGGCACTTAGGAGCTTTTTTGAGGGAGGCTCCTCTTTTACTTCGTTCTTCTCTTCCTCACTTCCCCCTTCCCACCTCCCTTTCCCCTTCCCTTCTCTCCCCACCTCCCTTCCTTCCCTCCCTACCCACCCACCGACCAACACACGATAAGCGGCGTCCCCTGCCAATGAGGATGATCAGCCTTGTCTCTTAACGTCAATAATTAAAGCCATTATATGGGATTTAAAGACCAACTTGCGTGTTATGAGAGAGTTTCAGAGAGTTCTTCATCACTTTGTTCCAGAGGAATATTTCAAAAAAAACAAAACAAAAAAGCTGTCGACAAATGTCACCATGGTGCTATTGAACACAAATTGCGTGCAAGAGGAATTCCCGGCCAAGTACGAGAGGTGGGTAGCACCTAACTACCTAACTACCTAACTACCTAACTACCTAACTACCTAACTACCTAACGAACGGAGTGTAATAGTCAACACGGTAAAATCCGGATCATCCACCGTGACGAGCTTAGTACCCCCCCCCCCCCCCCCCCCCCCCCCTAGGGTACTGTACTTGTTCTGGTACTTTTTGTCATCCTCTTATCGGACATAGTCCTTGTCTTTTCATGTCCTTTTCAAGGACATAGAGAAGGATGCAAACTGCATCACTCTTATCATCATTTGCAGTTGATACCAGGATTTTCATGCGAGTAGACAATATGGAGGTGACAGCAAACCACGTTCCTCATGTTAATCTGGTCTTGCGGAGGGCTAAAATAAAATAGATAATGCAATGTTTAATGAGGATAAATTCTTGTGACTGCGCAATGGAAAAAAAACACGAAAATATCATAACGAAAGGCACATAATAATACAATATCCAACCCCACTTTTGAAACAAAGAGCAATGTAAAGGATCTAGGAGTAATCATCTCGGAAGACCTTACCTTTAAAAGAGCACAATGATAAAGATAAAAGATAACAATGTAGCTGTCACAAATGCAAGAAAAATGACAGGTTGGATAACAAGAACCTTTCAAACAAGAGATACTATACCAGTAATACTTTTCCAAAACACTATAGTGCTCGCTAGGGGTGGCATATTGGGGACAAGTTACACACTAACAGCCCCATTCAAAGCTGGGGAGATTGCTTACCTGGAGAGCCTGTAAACATCTTTTACTGCTAGAATCCACTCAAAAAATCTAAATTAATTAGACCTTAAATATTTTAAATTTGTATTCCCTAGAGCGCAGGCGGGGGAGATGCATAACAATTTGGATAATACTAGAAGGACTGGTTCCAAATATGTACAGGGAAATGACCAGGAGGCATGGCAGGAAGTGCAAAATACCCCCATTGAAAAGCAGAGGTGCAACAGGTACTCTGAGAGAGAACTCTATCAACATCAGAGGCGTTCAAGAGAGAACTGGATAAGCATCTCCAAAGGATACCTGATCAACCAGGTTGTGGTTCATACGTGGTTCATCTCACCCCCCCACCTTCCTCCTCCCCCCCCATTCTTACCATCCTTTTCTCTTTCCTTACCTCCTCTTCCTGTCTCTTCTACCCACCCCTACGTCTTACTTCACTCTTCTCCCACCTTCCTCAGTTCCTCTCTTCTATCCCTACCTCCATCTCTCTCTACCTTCCTTCCCCTCCCCCCCTCAGCATTCCCTCTCCCCCCCCCCCCCCTCCTTCCACCCAACGACCCTGGGGGACCCTGGAGGAATATATGCAATCGTTATATGACCTTTTTCAGGTCTCTGGAGAACTGGAACACTCCCACAGGTCGGGCAGACGCCAGCCAGGAGGTCAAAGGTTATTTAGTCCACCCCTAATGCATACTTGGTAACCGGGGGGGGGGGGGGTGTTTGTTTACATTTCAAGTTAAATTTTAACACACGTGTTGGAGGCGGCGGAGACGACTGGCGTCCATTTAACGACGTCGGAGATTTTATTCCTGTCTATGGCTGTTCATTTTTAGGCCTATCAAGCGTGTCTGCCAGCCGGGAGCCGGTGGCTGAGCCGACAGAACACTGGACGCGTGATCCTGTGGTCCCCGGGTTCGATCCCGGGCGCCGGAGAGAAACAATGGGCAAAGTTTCTTTCACCCTGATGCTCCTGTTACCTAGCAGTAAATAGGTACCTGGGAGTTAGTCAGCTGTCACGGGCTGCTTCCTCGGGGTGGAGGCCTGGTTGAGGACCGGGCCGCGGGGACTCTTAAGCCCCGAAATCATCTCACGATAACCTCTTATTATATCGAATACGTATTTTTCTCTAACACATTACAAGGATACAGCCAGTTGCGGCTGTCCAACTCCCGGTTGTGTATTTGCTTACACAGTGAATCATCAGAATCATCAGGGGCATCAGAGTGAAAGAAACTCTGGCTATTTGTTTCTTCATTCGTCCGAGAATCGAACCCGGGCACTTCGGACTACAGGCCCCGGAGCGCTCGCCACTCGGCCGCGAGGCAGGTGTGTGTGTGTGTGTGTGTGTGTGTGTGTGTGTGTGTGTGTGTGTGTGTGTGTGTGTATGTATGTATGTATGTATGTATGTATGTATGTATGTATGTATGTATGTATGTATTTACCTAGTTGTGCTTGCGGGGGTTGAACTCTGCTCTTTCGGCCCGCCTCTCAACTGTCAATGAACTGTTACTAACTGCTACTATTTTTTTGTTTGCGTGCGTGTATTGGCAGCAGTACCGACACTAACAAGAGGTTTCTCTGTGTTTCAGGATGGGGTGTTTCGGGAGCAAGGAGAAGCTCTCTAAGGAGGACCTGGAATTCCTCAAGACGCACACCAGATACGATGAACAGATGATCAAGGAATGGTACAAAGGCTTCAGG